GAAGCATCGCTCTCTCGGGCGCCCGGGCGTCGCAGGGCCGCGGCGGGGCTTCCCCGTGAGTCCCGTGGGCCCGCGAGCCGCCAGCGAGACCCGGAGGGCGGCGCACCGGACCGCGGTGGACCCGCGGTGGTTCGCGCTGTTTGCAGTGGGGAAACCCCGTTCGGCGCCTCGCGGTCGCCCACGCAGCCGCCAGTGGCCGCGCAAGTGCTCCGTGTCCTCGGTCACCCCTACCAAGCGCACCAGCAGTGATCGGTCGACGCGAAGCGACCGCACATCCGCGAACAAGCTGCTTCGGGCCCAGTTTCGGGCTGTCTCGCGCAGAAAGCATCTCCAGATCATCGTCGGAGCCCCGTCGCGGGGCACCGAGGCCTCGAGCGACTCCCAACACATGTGCGACGACTTCGTAACCAGCGTGCCCGAGGTCTGGAGCTGGAACCAGCTCGGCGCCCGCGTTCTCGGGAAAGTCGCGCAGCGGCGTCCGCGCGGTGCATTTTCTCCTGCTCCGACTGACGAGGCGATTTCGCTGTAACTCGGCTCATCTCCGGAAACCGGCGCGATGCACTCGGTAGTAAATCAGCGAAGCTGGAGGCCCCGATCGCCGATCGCGGCAGCGCGTCGCGCGGCGAGGCCGCGGGGCCGGATTTCGTTAATCGGGTGCTGCGCGGCGCCCCCGGCGCCGTTTCGCGCAAACGAAGGTGCGCCGGCGCCCTCGGAGAAGGCCTCGAGGGAGCCCCGGGGCGGGCGCGGGCCGCCGAGGCGCCGGTGCTTCGCGCCGCGAAGCGCCAAAACATCAAGAATCGCAGTTTTTTGCCTGAGCCGAGGGCAAACGTTGCTCGCCGCCGGGGTCGCCTCGCGGCCTCGTCGCCTGCGCGCGTCGTCCGCGACAGGCTCGCGACGCCACATGCGACGCCGTCGTCCGCGGCGCCGTCGTCGGCGAAGCACGCCGTCGCCGACGCCCGTCGGAGACCGGCAGCTAGCTTGGGGCACCGTTACCGGCGAGGCGTGCGACGATCGCGATCGGAGAGAGCGGCGAAGCGGAGGCCCGCGCGCCGCGGCGGGCCGCGGCGCGGCGGCGGTCGCGGCCGGCGCGCCCGCGGCGCGCGCGCGCGCGGTCGGCCGCGCGGTCACGAGCCGTCGGCCTTGGGCGCGTCCTTGGCCTCCTTGGCCGGGAAGGGCACCGGCTCGTCGCCGGGCTTGGGCAGGGGCCCGGCGACGGGGATCTGGACCCCGACGTAGTTGACGACGCGCTTGTTGATGTCGCGGAGCGACGCGACGAAGAGCTGGTTCCAGAAGGGCGTGCCGTCCTTCTTGTAGTTGAGGATCGTCACCGTCGTGTCCGTGCCCTCGGCGATGCCCTTGGCGAGCTCCGCGACGGTGCCCGGGAAGGTGCCCGGGCCCTGGAGGAAGCGGCAGTTCTTGCCGATGACCTCGTCGAGGGGGTAGCCCGTCGTGGAGAGGAACGACGCGGACGCGTAGACGATGGGGTTGTCCTTGAGGCTCGGGTCCGTGATGCAGAAGGACCGCTGCGCGCTCTGGAGCGTCTGCATGAGCGTGAAGTCCGACGCGTTGAGCAGGTCCGTGGCGCGGCTCCGGTTTTCCGTGACGACCGCGGGCAGCGCCGTCGTGCACGTCGACAGCACCGACGCGCTGTCGCCGGCGAGGAGCGGGTTCGTGCGGACGAGCTCCTTGAGCAGCGCGTTCTCGCGCTCGACCTCGTTGACCTGCTGCTGCAGGCTCTCGAAGAAGAACTTCTTGCGGAGCCGCGTGCGCCGCGCGAGGATCCGGTTCCGGTCGCGCCGCCGGTCGATCTGCGCCTGCGTCTTCGCGCGCGCGCCGCCCTCGCCCTTGCGCCGCTTGCCCGCGGGCTCCGTCGACGACCCGTCCTCGGAGTCCTCCTTGTCGGGCTTGGCGCCGCCGAGGCCCAGGCCCAGGCCGCCGCCGAGGCCCAGGCCGCCGCCGCCGCTCGAGCCGCCCTCGCCGCTGTGCTCGCTCGTCGTCGCCGACACGGCCGCGTAGATCGCGTCCGTCGACGCGGGGTCGTCGTCGAGGTCGTTCAAGAGATAGTCGCAGAGCCCCGCGTCGGAGATGCCGAAGTCGCCGTTCGCCGAGAACGACATCTGATCCGCGAGCGCCATGTTCGACGCGTCGGTGCGCGTCCGGGGGGCGTTCCGGGGGGCGTTTTTTTCGCCGCGCGTCGACGCGGTCCCGGGCGGTGCTCGGACGGGCGTTTGATGCCTCCCCGAGTCGGTTCGGGTCGCGCCTCCGGGCTTCGGAACTGCGATTATGAGGCGTCCAGCCCGCGGCTCGGCCGCTCGTCAAGTGCAATATGGGGCCAGCCGGGGCTGCGATGCGCTCGCGGGGCCCGCGGGGCGACGCCGGACGATCGCGTCCTTCGGGGCCGAGCCGGTCGTCTGCGGCGGGGCCGCGCCCCGCCGATACCGCGACATCCGACCATCGACTTCGTCGGAGCCTGGGCCCCGCGCGCGGCGCCGTCCGCGCGGCGCGGCTCGCGGCGCCCTCAGAAAATGTGAGCGATGGTGCAATAAATCTTAGTACGTGTTTCTTGGAAGCCAAAACTGCCTCTCAGAATGTTTCAACTAAGGCTTATAGGGGCATGATCGGCTGTGAGGCTGCGAGGCGCCCGAGGCAAGGCCGGCCTTGTTGAAGAGCTTGAGCTTTTGGCTTGTTGAGCTTTGGCCAAGCCCTCGGCCGGCGGAGCTCCGAGCGCAACTTGCGCCGCGGCGCGACCCCGACCTCGCCACCGCCGCCGTCGACTTGCTCGTCGACCGCGCCGGAGCGTTCCGGCTTGTAAGCGCCCGCGCGCCCGCGCGCCGGCGACTCGCGCGACCGCGAAGCGATGACCGCCCTCTCCGGTCCGACGTTCGGGTTGGACGCGAGCGAGGAGCTCGACGTCATGGACGGCCTATTTTTCAACGAGCTCTCGGACCTGCCGGTCGAGCCGGGCTCGGCGAAGATGTACGGCTCGTCCGGGCCCCAGCCGGTCGTCGACACGCCGATCACCGACGAGGAGCTCATCGGCGCGCGCGCGGCGTCCGGAACGGGGGGTTTCCTGCCGCGCCCCCGGGGCGCATCCGCGCGCCGCGCGTCGCACGAGCGCGCGCGCGCACGAAACTCGGGCCGCGCGCGCGCGATGTCCCCCGCCGCGATTCCGACCGAGCTTGCGCGCCCCGCAGCGTCGCTGCCGCTGCCCAGCGAGAAGGAGTCGAAGCCCAAGGCCAAGGCGGCCGCGGGCTCGAAGCCGAAGGACGCGGCGGACCTGTCGGAGACGCGGCGCGCGCGGAACCGGGAGCACGCGCGGCGGTCGAGGTGTCGGAAGAAGCTCATCATCGAATCGCTGCAGCAGTCGCTCGTCGCGTACCAGGGCGAGAACGAGCGGCTCCGCGAGTTCGTGCGCGAGAAGCTCGGCGCCGAGGCGGCGGCGCCGAGCCTCGAGTACTGCGCGGCGCAGTCCAAGGGCGACGGCGACGCCGAGGGCGAGGCGTCGCTGAGCGAGGGCGGCGAGCGGACGCGCGCGATCAACAAGTACGACTACGGCCTCCTCGAGGCCCTCAAGCACGCGCGGCGGTCCTTCGTCATCACGGACCCGACGCTGCCCGACAACCCCATCGTCTTCGCGAGCGGCGGCTTCCTCTCGCTCACGGGCTACAAGCTCGAGCAGGTCCTCGGCCGCAACTGCCGCTTCCTCCAGGGCCCGCGGACCGACGCGCGCGCCGTGGGCAAGATCCGCGAGGCCATCAAACACGGCACGGACGTCCAGATCTGCCTCCTCAACTACAAGATCGACTCGACGACGTTCTGGAACCACTTCTTCATCGCCGCGCTCCGCGACGACGCGGGCGACGTCGTCAACTTCCTCGGCGTCCAGATCGAGGTCAGCGAGCGCGTCGCCATGGGCATCCTCCAGAACATGGACGGCAAGGCCGCGGACGGCAAGGCCGCGCCCGCCGCGGCCCCGGCCGACGGCGCCGCCAAGGGCGCCGACGCGGCCGTCGGCGCCAAGCGCGCGCGCGACGACGACGGCCCATGAGCGCCGCCCGGCCGGGGGGCTGCCCGGACACCACGGCGAGCCGCAGCGCTCGAGCCGCGAGCCGGCCCCCCCCCGCGCGCGCCCGCGACCGCGACCGACAAAAAAAAAAAAAAACAAGCACACTGTGAATGGTAAACACGATCGACTCCGCCCGGGTCCCTTACTCCGTCGGCGTCGCCGTCGGGACGAACTTGCGCAGGACGACGGACTCGCTGTCCGTCGCGAGCTCCGCGGGCACCTCGGAGAAGCCGAGCTTCTCGTAGAGCCGGCGGCTCGGCTCGTGGCTCTTGACCGCCGTGATGACGAACTCCGAGAGGTTGCAGCCCCGCGCGACGTCCTCGGCGGCCAACAGCAGGCGGCTCGCGACGCCCCGGCGGCGGGCCGACGTGTCGACCATCATGTTTTTGCCGAACGCGCGGTCCCTGTCGTCCTCGCCGATGAGCCGCGCGTAGTGGCGCCCGCCGTGGCTCCGCACGGCGCCGGCGTCGTCGCTCGCGCGGGCAAAGAAGAGCTCGAACCAGCCGATCTCCCCCTTGCCGTCGCGCGCGACGAGCTCCACGTCCGCGACGGGGTCGCCGTTGACCGCGGGCGCCGCGGGCTCGCGCGCGAGGACGTCGAAGTGCCACTTCGCGTTGGGCACGCCCCGCGTCATGCGCGCGTTCGGCGGCTTGAGCGCGCCGACGGTCGCCGCGGCGGCGACGACGAGCAGCCGCAACATCTCAATCGTTCTTCTTGGCGACGAGCTTCCGCTTCGCGGTCTGCGCCGTGTCGACGAGCTGGAAGATGAAGACCGCGACGATGAGGCCGACGAACGTGTACGCCACCAGGTCGCCGAGGCCCATGAACGAGCTCTGGCTGCGTGCGACGCAGGGCAGGAGCAGGTCGGAGCTCGGCGCAGCTGCAACAGCGTCAATCTCGACCGCAACACCGCCCGCGCCGCCGCCGACGTTAACGCCGACGCGTCTGGTCGTCCGTCGGATGCGCTGGCCACGCACACTCGGAGGTGCAAGAGGCGCACGCGAAAGGAAGACCCCTACGCCCCCGCGCGCGCCCTCGCGCGCTTCGCCGGCGGCCGGTCTCGCCTGCCGCGCGGCGCGCGCGCGCCGTCGCCGCGCCGCGGCCGGTAGAGGCCCGCCTCCGGCGCCTGGGCGTCCGTGAGGAAGCCGACGAGGCGCTTGCGGCTCGGGAGGTAGCCGCGCGCCGCCATGTGGGCCGCGGACGCCGCGCAGTACGTGCCGTTGAGGTCCCCGTCCGCGACGGACAGCGACCGCAGGACCCGCGACCGGCGGCCGTAGGTCCGGAAGATGTGCGTGTTCAACAGGGCCGCCTCGACGGCGCCGAGGTCGTAGGTCTCGCAGGCCGCGTACGCGGGCGCGTCCGCCGCGCGCGTCGGCGGCCGGGACGCGTCGCGCGCGAGCCGCCGGTACGCGTCCTCGGACATCTGGGCGCCGCAGCACTGGCGCAGAATATCCCAGTAGCGCGCGTAGTCGTGGAGCTGGCGCAGCGCGCCGTCGCCGAGGCCGAAGAGCGCCGCGAGGCGCGCCGCGAATTCGGCCGCGCCGCGGTCGAAGAGCTCCGCCGTCGACTGCACCAGCTTGACGTCGTAGCCCAGGGCCGCCAGCGGGCCCGTGTCGTCCGTGCCGTTGGTCGTCGCGAAGACCCAGACGTCGCGGTCGTTCCGCTCGTCGAAGCGGAAGTGCGTCTTGTAGGCCGCCGCGACTTCGCCGGCCGCGAGCCGCGGCAGGGGCTGCGGGCGGTAGGTGTGACGATCGCCGCGGGCCGCGCCGGGCGCCGTCAGGGGCACGCCCCGGGCGTCGACGCGCGCGAGGTGGTGGCACGCGACGGCGCCGTCGGCGCCGTGGACGAGGTGCATGATGGCGCAGAGGGACTGGTACTGGAGCGTGCTCGCCGTCCGGAAACGGCCGTACTGCACGACCTGCTTCGGGATCTTCGGGATCGCGGCGGCGACCGTCCCGAGGAGCCACCAAAGAGCGCGCATGGCCCGCGCGTCGAGACGCGAAAATTTTTGCCACAGTGCGATGCGCCTAGCGATCCCAAAGGGGGGGGGGTTGCTGGAGCCTTGCTGGGGTGCTTTGAGTTTGTGGGCTCTGAGGTGAGTACGGGGGCGAGAGGAACGGAGGCGTCTTTTTCCGCCCGCGTCACGGCGCATCCCCCTCCTCGCGCGCGAGCTCTCCGTGTCGGTCTGCTAAGGAGCGTGCTACTTACAGGGTCGACGCGGGCGTGCACGTCTTCTCGTGGGCCTTGAGGCGCTCCTTGACCGCGTTGCGCGAGCGGCCCCGAAACGGCCGCCCGCACTTGCAGCACCTGAGCTGGTTGCTGATCATCGCCTTCTGCGCGTCCGCGGACGCCGCGCGGAACCGCGCGATGGCCGCGGCGGCCTCCTCGGCGGTCTCGAAGTAGATGATGCTGCCGAAGGCGCGCAGGGAGACCCGGCCCTTCGCGTGTTGGAAGCACGTCCAGAACTTGCCGTCCTCGCACGCGACGCCCGCGGGCAGCGTCCGCGGCGCGCGCTCCTTCACGCCGGCGAGCGCGCGCGCCTGCTCCAGGCGCTCGACGACGGCGGCGAGGTCGGAGGAGGGGGTGTTGTCGAAGTCCGCGCCGGCCGCCACGGTGATGTGTCCGTCGACGACGTAGCGGCCCTCCGTCGTCCGCCGGATCCCCGCCGGCAGCTCGATCGTCAGGTCGTGCGAGTCCTCGATGCGCTTCGCCAGGAGGCCGCGCGTCGCGTCGCTCCGGGCTCGCTTCGATTCCTGCTTCTTGATCATCGACTCGACGTTCTCCTCCTCGTCGTACTTGAGCGGGACGCGCTCCCCGGACGCGACGTCGCGGTAGTACTTGTTGTCGCGCTCGCGCTGCTCGACGACCTCGTCGCCGGAGAAGTGCTTGCGCTTGCCCGTGCGGTCGACGCCCGTGCGGCCCTTCGCCCGCGTCTGCTCGTAGTAGCGCGCGCGCTCGCGCCGGTCCTCGATGACGATGGAGAGGTGGTGTTCGAACTCCTTCACCAACTCGGGCAGCGACGCGCCGCGGCTCGACGCCAGGGACGCGAGCGCCGTCAACTGCGCGGCCTCGCCGAACGACACCTCGCCGCGGAGGACCTTGACGCTCTCTTCCTGGACCTCGAGGACGGCCAGCTCGATCGCGTCCATGTTGTTGAACTCCTTGAAGAGGTCGTCGTCGGACTTGAACAGGTCCGGCGCGATGAGCGAGATCAGGATGCGCGCCTTCGCGTAGTAGGACTGCATCAACGCGTCCAGCTGCGCGGCCGGCGTGCCGTTCGCCGGCTGCTTGCGCTGGCGCAGGGTGCGGATCTCGACCATGACGCGGTGCAGCGCGGCCTTGCTCTTCTTGACCTGCTGGCCCTTGCCGCTGTCGATGGTCAGGCGCCGCGGCTGCTTCCCGCGCGGGATCTGCGGCACGAGCGGCTGCTTGAGCGACATGACTGGGACGACCCGACGACGGAAGAGGCTGCGCGCGCGCTGAGAGCCGACGATGACCCCGGCGCTATATGCATCGAAAACTTCATCATTGTGATTATGACCATGGGCTGCCAATCGGGAGCAGCCGCCACCCAGCCGAAGTGGGCAAACCCTGGGGCAGCGTTCGTGCCCTTCGCGATGTCACTGCGCGCTTCTCTGGCGCGTCCAGCAATCGTCTCCTTAAGATATGCTCCTCGGCTGCCGTTATGGACGAACGAGAGGACTCGGACCCCGGTTCGCGGGCCGCCGGCGGGGCCTCGACCTCTATCGTGAGCACCAAGAACGTAAGGCACCCACCAACCCGCAGTTTGACGACTAAGAACGAGACCTTAAAAGCACCCCCTACTTCCCCTGCTCGGCCTTCATCGCCTCGTACTCGATGGGATGCATGCCCTTTGGCCGCTCGTCCTCCGGGTTTTTCACCTTGGACGCCGCGAGCGTCCCGACGGCGAGGACGACGACCGTGGCGCCCTGCGCGACGACGCGCGCCCGCATCATCTTCTGCGACAGCGCCGCCTGCGGAGGAGAGCGTGACGGCGCGGCCCCGGGCGAATCCGCTCGGACGCGGCGCGCGCGCCTGGCCCTGCTGGAAGGTGTAGAGCCCCGCGAGCAGGCAGGAGAGCGTCGCCATGCAGCCGATGGGCACCAGCGGGTCCTTCTCTGCGCGGCGCGACGCGAGGTGAGCGGATGCGGGGGGCGGGCGAGGACGCTGGGAGCCGCGCCTGCTTTGCTCTTAAACTTCGCCAAGAAATCCATCGCGCTGCGTCGATGCGCGCAGGCGATGGCGCGCGACGCGACGCGCGGGACGTCGAGAGGCCCTCGCCGAGCGCCGGTCCCGGGCAGCAGCGGTGGTGTACGACCCGGCCACCAGCGCAGCACGCGTCGGTCGAAGATGCTTCGCCAAGATCAGCTTTTTTGCCGCAAAGGCATGGGAGGCGCATTCGGCGCCTGTTGAGCGCAGCATGGCCGCTGCCGAGCTCGTCCACGCCAACGGCCAGACCACCTTGAAAGTTCCCTACGCCAAGTGGTCCATCGAGTGGAGCGTCGTGCTGGAGGACGACCGCATCGTCGACCTCATCCCGCGGCCCGGCGGCCTGCCGGACGGCGACGAGTCGCCCTACGCGAGCTACGAGCTCGCGGCCTGCTTCCCGAGCCTCTGCGGCGGCGGCGGCGCGACGGCGGCCACCGTCGCCGGCGAGGCGTCCGAGGCGTTCCACGGCCGGCAGACCGCGAAGGCGGCGGAGGCCGGCGGCCGGCTCGCCGCGGACGTCGCGGCGCTCTGGTCCGCCGGCGCGCTCCTCGGCGTCGTCGTCGACGTCGGCCGGCGGCGCGCCGAGCTCGTCGCGAGCC